TACCCCAGCTACTTCTACTTTTAAACAGCTCTGGAGGCCTGGGAAGGTGGCTCAGTGGTAGAGTGCTTACCTTGCATGCATGAGGTCCTGGGTTCGATTCCTCAGCACCACATAAGCAGAAAAAGCTGGAAGTGGCACTGTGGCTCCAGTGGTAGAGTGTTAGCCTTGAGGTGAAGAGCTGAGGGACAGCACCCAGGCCCAGAGTTGGCCTGGATTAAAAAAAAAAAAAAAAAACCAGCTCTGGAGAAAATAGATCTTGATGAATAAACTTCTGCAAGGTTTTTTTTTTAAGAGCACTCCAAAGAAGGCCCACATTACATTCTCTGCCCAAGGACTTGATCTTTCATGACTTTTGTTTTCTGTCAGCATGGGGACCCAGTGTGTTGAGACCAAAAGGTCTTCTGAGGTTTCAATTATTTTACAGCTCAGGAAATTTGAGGCAAATGTGCACTTTCCATCAGAAGCGCAGTTCAAGGAGGTCAATATTTATATTGCAACCAATACTTACTGCTTCTAGTGGCTATGTGATCCACAATGCCAACACACAATTTCAAGTATTTCCCATCAGAAAAGATTTTGACTTAAAAGTTTGCGATTTTGTTCAGGAAATTTCTACTTTAGAACAAAAATGTACCTTTATTAGTGTTCAGCTATAAATGCTAACATCACTATTGGGTAAAAATTAAAGTTTCCAAACTGCTACACAAGGGTTGAAGGAGCACAGAACATATTCGACCTCTACACCTTCCCCCCTAATAATAGGATTTCTGAAGTCAGAAAGCATCTTGGAAATGATTTGACAGAATAAGAAGTTATTTCTTTTCCAACATTTAGATTTAGACTTCTTTCTCTCTTTCCTTCTTTTTTTTTTTCTTCGTGTGTGTGTGTGTGTGTGTGTGTGTGTGTGTGTGTGTGTGTGTGTGTGTGGTGTGTGTGTGTGGTGTGTGTGTGTTGTTAGGAAAATGCAGTGGAAAGAACTGGCCGGACTCAATCTCAACAGGTGAGGACTCTTTATGACAGCAGCGAGAGGCAGCAACTTTCCCACAGGAATGGAGGTTATGCAAGGAGGTGGGGTTGAGGTTAGGCTTTTATGGGGTTTGGGTCAGGGAAATGAAGGTTTTGAAATAGAAAGAACTTGGGGTCTGGTGAGGCAATGGAATGTTCCACAGGAGGTGGTAGGAACTTATGGTTAGGCCTTAGTCAGAATGTGTGCTCACACCTGAGCCTTTATGTGCCTGGTGGAAAAGTCGGGGGAGGGGATTAATCCTTCAATTGTTCCTCTTCTCTTCTTTCCTCTTTTTTTTTCTCATTTTTTCTTTCCTCTTTTCCTACCCTTCCTTCCTTTTTTTTTGGCAGTCCTGGGGTTTGAACTCAGGGCCTGGTGCTGTCCCTGAGCCTCTCTATGCTCAAGGCTAGCACTCAACTACTTGAGCTACAGCACCACTTCCAGCTTTTTCTGAGTAGTTTATTGGAGATAAGAGTCTCATGGACTTTCCTGCCTGTACTGGCTTTGAACTGTCATCCTCAGATCTCAGCCTCCTGAGTAGCTAGGATTACAGGTGTGAGCTACCAGTGCCCAGATTGTCTTTCTCTTTCTTTCATTACTACCAGGGTTTGAATTAAGATTCCCACATCTCTCTGCTTGCTTGATTAATTGATGCTTTATTATTTGAGTCATGCCTTCATTCCAGATTTTTGGTGGTTATTTTGGAGATGAAAATATCTAGCAGTTTAGATTCCTCTCCCCATAGTTAGCAATACAACAAATTAACCAAACTGTATAAAAACAAAATAGGAGCAATAAAAACATGTCAAACACCCATCTCCTTATTTCAAAATTTTGAAGGCTTATTTCTGAGGCCTTTACACACATACACTCTTCCTTTCTTTTTCTCTCTCTCTCCCCTTCTCCTTCTCTCCCTCTTGTTCCCTCTGTTCCTTCTTTCTGTCCTTCCTTTGCTGTAACAGAGCTTGAACATAAAAGCTTCAAGCTTGCTTGGATTGCTTACTTAAGCATGGGACTCTGCTATACCACCACTACCCTCAGTCCAGATTTCTCTTTGAACCACGATTCTGTTTCATATCTTTTTTTTATTGTGAAAATACTGTACAGAGGGGTTACAATTACGTGGGCAAGATAATGAGTACATTTCTTCTCAAGCATTGTAGCCTCCTCCTTTGTTAAATAGCTAGGATTACAGGCAGGAGCTACTGGTTCGTAGCAGGTCCTTTATTTATAAAACACTTCATAAGTCCTCTTCTGCTGGATTTTGTTTATTTTACTTTTATACTATATCTCAGTTGCTTCCTCATAGCAAAAGGTCACATTAGAATTTGAATTCAGAAAAGGATAAGTTGAATAGCCACTAGTATTTATATATATACTCCCTGTTAGATACCAATCACTGCTCTACCTTCTTTTTATTGGAAGAGTGTTCTTGTATCCCTTACTATTTCACTTGTTCAGTCCCTGTATTTGGTCAAACTCTGATTTTATTTTAGTGGGTACTAACTAAGGCTTGAACTCAGGGCATTGAATTCTCAGTTGGCTTTTTCTCTCAAGGATGATGATTTACTATGTGACCAGAGCCTATTTCTGGCTTTTTGGTGGTTAATTGGAAATATGAGTATCATGCACTTTCCTACCTAGGTGATTTTGGATGGTGATCCTTAGATCTCAACCTCCTGAGTAGCTAGGATTATAGGCATAAATCACTGGTACCCAAGTGATTGTATATTTAATGAGAATACAAATAAATTTTAGCTAATGAAACTTGCTCCATGAATGACTTCCTGGTCTAATCACATTGTTTATGGAATTATGCTACTCCATGAACAAACTCCATCTACCACAGTAGTAGGAAATAAGCAGTTAGCTTATAGAAAAGCTGCAGCCCACAACACACTAAGCCACATTGAAGTGCAATACAACTTGAGTTCTAGTCCTGGAAATTTCTCTTGCAACCTCTTCATGTCTTTTCAAATCACTATTGTGGAAGTACCAAGCATGTAAAAATGGGTACTCAAAACTGGGAGTGAGGGAAGGGGTGATATTATCCAAAAAGAAATGTACCCTTTACCTAACTTAGGTAATTGTAAGCCCTGTGTATCATTCTATAATAACAAAAGATTTTTTTAGAAAAAGAACTGGTGCTCAGACTATTAGGTTCATACCTATATTTAGCTTTCCAATAGTATCTAAAGTGTTGAATTCATGCCAATGATGAGCCATCATACAACCATGCAACCTTCCTGAGCTGTTGTAATACTTGTCAGCTGATTGCTGCCTATTAAGCTGACATAGTATACTTGTACATTTTAGTGAAAAGTGAATTCATGATTGATTTAATCTGTTTACACATTCCCAGACCAGTCAGAGTAGGTATAATCTAGGACAGAAATTACATCCTGTTGGTAACAGGAACATAAACCTTTTATTAGAGACCCACAAGATGATAAGGGTCCTGGTTATTTGCCAAAGACCCTACTTCCTTGATACCACATAGTAGGTCAAAAGTACACAGAAGATGGATGTCAGGAGATACAAGAAACCACACTTTAAATATAGTGTCTCTGGGTATGGGAGTACATACCTATAATCCCACATTCAGGAGGCTGAGACAAGATGTAATGTTCAAGGTCACACTGGCTTACATAGTGAGATTCTGTCTCAAAAACACACAAAAAAAAAACCAAGGTGCCAGGTGACTGGCTTTTGCCTTTAATCCTAGCTACTCAGGAGGCTGGATCTAAAAAATGTGGTTTGAAGCTGGCCTAGGCAGGCGTCTGTGAGACTCTTATCTCAAATAAGCCACCAAAAAGCCAGAGGTAGATCTGTTACTATAGTGCAAGAAAGCCATCCATAAGTGAAGAAGGGACAGCAACCAAGCCCTGAGTTCAAGCTCTAGTATCAGCACACATGTGCCCCTCCCTCCCTCCAAACACAGTAACAATAATAAACACAAATGTTCCACCAAACAAAAACTACACCATGTGCATACTTGTGGAGTATCTTCTATTCAAAAGTACTAATTTGTTTTGTTGAGTGGTAATGCAAAAACTATGTGAGGCTTAAGACATTCAAACAATGTCAAGCTGAAATTTCCAAGCGCTCATATCCCTGGTAAATAGATCTTGTTGTGACAGTGATTGGAGGGGCTCCAGCAGAACTGGATTTGGAGATCAAGTCTGTATCAATACTCGATCACTGGCTGGTTATATGCTATACAATGCTATTTGCACTTTCTCTAAACTGAGTATTTGTGCAAAGAGGTCATATTGTGTAAACTCCAGGGCCCCTTGAGCTCCAAGAGGCTTCTGGGTCTTCATCATGTTTTAGAGCACTCCTTGCCTAAAATTTCAGTAACCTTACTTGTGACAGATGCCAACTGTTTACTGAGCTGAGGTCATCTACCACTGTGAAATACCCTTGAGAGATCCCAAGACCCACTCAAACCTGTATTGTTACTATTTCTCTCATTGTTACTACTCATCAGCAAAGGTCAAAAGGGTCAACCAATATTCTCAAATGCAGGGTTCACACCATAAGAAATAATTTACTAAGATTAAGATTTTTTCTTTTCTTTTTGCTGGGTGCTTTTGGCTCATGCCTATAATCCTAGAAGACTGAGATATGAGGAACAAAATTTGAATCTAGCCTGAACAGGAAAGTCCCAGAGACTCTTACTGACCATCCAAAAGTCAGAAGGGAAGAGTGCCAGCCTTAGGACTATGTCCATGTCCTAACTCAATAAAAAGAATTCTATAGCCTTTGGCTTATTGAGTATCTACTTATGACTATGGGGTTCATTAAGCATTATCTGAGTGTATACATTGCCATAAAGGTTAATACATTTCTGTTTACTAATTGAAATGTTCTCAAATGTTTTCTACCTTAAAGAAGCACACCTATAGTGCAAGACAGTGAATCAAAGTGCGAGACCCACTGGTAGAAATAATATTAAGCACAGGCAGAAATTTTATCAATATATCACGTGAACTTTCATGAACATCTCTAAAAAAGTTTAATAACAATTGATGCATTTTTGTAATTTACATGATTTTAAAATGAGTTTTGTGCTTTGATATAGGTTTTACAAAAGCATAACATCAGTTTGAATTACAAACGATCAGTAAAATCCACCACTTAGCAGCTTACCCATCACTCATAAAAATGTTGTTTGAGTCAGTATGTGGAGAAACAAAGGCCAGTGGCTGATGGGAAAGACCACAAAAATCAGAGAAGTTTTAATATCAAAGACACAGATCTTCACAATGGTCAATTAGCCAACTTCTGAAGTTGCTGTCACAGAAGTCTCGACCATGTGAAGTCCCCTCAGTGTTGTCTGGGTATCTGGGAGCTGTCCATGTTTCTGGGAGCTGTCTGGATATCTGGGAGCTGTCTGGGTGTCTGGGAGCTGTTTGGGTGTCTGGGAGGTGCCTGGATGTCTGGAAGCTGTCTAGGTGGCTGGGGCATGACTGGAGCTGAGCACTAGGCTGCAGTGCTACAGCTTGGGGATGGGCGTGGCGGCCACAGCGATGCTCTCGATGGCACACTCGTCCCTTCCTCGGAGGATCCGGAAGTAGCCGTCCTCCCCCCAGGCCGAGCCCCAGCTGTTCTTTATGGTCCAGTATTCTAGCCCTGTTTCTGGCTCAGTGCCATAGCCCACCAGCAGCACAGCATGATTGGTGAGCTCGAAGGGGTTGAAGGGGTCGCGGAGGCCGGTGTGCTGGTAGATGCCGTGGTGGTAATGCAAGAAGTCATCGTAGACTTCGAAGGCTACTGCCACGGGCCCATGGTGGACCAGCTCCAGCTTCATCAGGGCCTCGTTGCATCCCCCGTAGAAGCCTCCCACATAGTGGTACTCAGAGGAGAAGTAGCGGAAGCAGTCCTTCTTCAGCTTGCAAGGTGAGTCTGTGCCTGTGTAGGGAAAGCAGGCCTCTTCCACCACTCCCAAATCCTGGGCGTACTTCCCTGCAATGAGGTAGGGGAACCCTCCTTCACAGCCTGAGGAGGAACAGCATGCAAGGTTACTTACTGCCCAGGTATCAGATAAAGGCACAGCAGAAACTGTGCTATGCCTTACTTTTGCCTCTCTATTCCATCATTCATTCGTTCGCTTATTTTTACTGACATCAGATATCACTTATCATAGCAATTACTAATAGAAATTTGCATTTCCATAATGAAATTTCACTATGTTCAATTTTTTAAAATTATCAACCCTCATGTTAATGTCGCTTATTAACATAAAGTAGAGCACAAGGCTTCTCAATATATATTTTACTACATACATAGAAGATGGTGACATTAGTAATCAGGTCCCTTCTGGGAACCCTGAGGGTTGAGAAAATCAATCTTGGCACACCTTCACATGGTCAGATTGGCAAGAATTGCCTGTTCTATAGTTTACCTACAAGTCACCAATTCACATCAAGCAGAGTGAGTGCAAAATATTTATAATTCAGGTAAAATTCCATTATAAAAATTACTTTTGTGTCTTCAAGTGAATTATAATGGATTATATAGAATTAATAGTTTGTGGCCTTGTCAAGTTCTCCTTATTTATGACACAAGACTGCCAGCTGTTTGTTATGTTAGAAAACACAGAGATAGCCCTGGCAGAGAATGTGCAGAACCGTAGTGTCAAACCTGTCGGCTGCTTAGACTACTGCAAAATGAACAGCTTTTTAAAAAATCTTAAATGTAATAGCTCTTCCTACAGTGGCTTAAAAAAATGACAGCAAAAGCGAGTCTGGAGGAAGACAGAAGAGAAGAAGCTGGGGCTAAATAAGCTCTCAAGTAGAAACCAGTTTTAGTGTTCCAGTGAAAAATCCAAGGCTAGAGAGTCACACCCAGTGTGCCATCATAGTACAGAGTTTGGTCAGAGAGGAAAAATTCAGGCAGCTTGGTTAAGGAGACAGATTCAAGCACTCTCTGGTGCTGCCAGACAGAACCTAGGACAAAGGTTCCAGGGGCAGTGTGCAAGAGGATTCTACTTACCACTAGCAAGAACTGACACGGAGTGGAAATCTTCATTCTGATGACCACAGACAGTAGTAGACCATGAATGGCCCAGAAACCAAGAGAAAGGCATGAGTTCCACACAGATATCCTCACTCCTTTTCACAGAGCAGTGGTGGGAAGGTAGCCCCTCCTCCACCACTGGAGAAGAACAACTTTGATACTGACAAAGACTAGGCCAGAGCAGCTAGCCCATAATTCAGGCCTTGGAAGAAGACAATAGGAGCCATTCAACACGTCAAAGGAAGCTGATTTGCAGGGCTCAGCTCCACCCCAGGGGAAAGTTGCCCTTCCCAGGCAGAGGCTGTACCACCAGTGGAGAAGTGACTTTCTTCACTGAGTAAACAGAGCCAGAAGCTGTCCCACCCCCCTGTAGCACAGGCAGCAGACCCAGCTGAAGGAGGGTAAAAGAAAAACAATTGGAAACTCAGTAAACTTAATCCTGAGAATGCTCCCAGCTGGGCTGTGTGAGTGTCTCAGGAACTAGCCACTCAGGGAAAAGCTACTGATTGCTGACAGGCCTCAACCCCACCCACAACCTAGCCCCATCATAGCAACTCCAAGATAGAGGAAACAGCCATTTCCCTCTTTTGTGATACTCTGAACAGATCTCCCTCCTATTGAACTAAACTCTGAGGAAGGTCATAAAGTCCCTGGTAAGGCAGAGCTTCTATTTGCCTGCTAAAAAAAAATGATTTAAGAAACCAAACAAGCTTTAGGCAAACCAGACACCACAAGCACAAACCAGAGACTCCATCAAGAGACTGGTTATGGCACAGGGAGACACAAGGTCCCTCTTCTGCAAAAAAAATCACAGAACCCTGTTTTCTTCCTAATTTTTTTTTTGGGGTCCGGTTGTGGGGCCTGAACCCTAGGCCTGGGTGTTGTCCCTCAGCTCTTCGGCTCAAGGCTAATGCTCTACCACTTGAGCCACAGCGCCACTTCCAGCTTTTTTCTTTTTGCTTATGTGGTGCTGAGGAATTGAACTCAGGGCCTCACGCATGCAAGGCAAGCACTCTACCACTGAGCCACCTTCCCAGCCCTCTTCCTAATTTTTTAAAATCTTAAAAAATTGTTTTCTACTTTTTTCATCATTTTTATTTTAGGTTTTTTTTTTTTTTCAATTCTTTTTCCCTTTTGGTCCTTTCTGTTTTTTGGGTTTTTTTTTTTTGCTATATTTAATTGCTGTTCTGTTCACCCTCAGATATAAACCCATCTTCAATTACTAGACCTTATCTTTCATTGTGTGCATACTTACTTCAGATATCAATTACTCAATTCACAAATGCTAAGCCTTACTCCCTTAATTATAGTGTTATTTCTTTATACTTCTACAATTTTTAAGTGTTTCATTTAAAATTTTTTTTTATCATTTTTCTTTTTTTTCTTTATCTCTCTTCTTCTATCCTTTTCCTCTCTCTGAATTTAGGTATTTGTTATATTCCCTTTCTCCCTTTCCCTCCCTACATTCCTCTAATCTTATTTTCTCCTCACAATTCTCCCTAAATGAATTAATTTCTGGTCTGCTGACTCCTTTGATTTTCTTTTTTTTTTTTATTTTATTTTATTTTATTTGAAAACATACTGTACAGAGGGGTTACAATTACATGGGCAGGAAAATGCATACATTTCTTACCAAGCATTGCAGCCTCCTCCTTTGTTTACCCTTCACCTCCCTTCCCAGCCTTCCCCCTCCTCCCCTCCTTTGATTTTCTTAGTCCACTGATCCCTAGTTGTTTGTTGTTGAACTAGATTGTATTTGTTAAAATAGATTGTACATGTACTTAGAGCTCTGGTTGATGTTTGCCTTAAAACAATGTTCTAGCACATAATTGGTTTTGCTTTCATACCCAAATGGGTAGAACAAGCTGGAGAAACACAAGAAAAATGGCAAGTCCAGGTATCTCAACTCCCACTCATGATATTCACACATCAGAACAGTTAGTGAATAATGCAGAGAATTCCCAAAATGCTCTACAAACACAACTAGTTAGTGAACATGGTGAATGAAAAGACTGAAAACCTGCAAAGGACTCTGTGTGAGTGTGATAGGGAATTGCATGAGTGTGATGAGGCAAACCAAAGATTAATACAGGAATTTCACAAGCATGAGGAGGCTAATCAAAGATTAATAGAGGAACTGTGTGAGAAACGGGATGAGAATAGAGGCATTCATGGAATCTACAAACAGAAAGTTGGAGGAATCCATGAAATCCACAAAGGGAATGCTGAATAAAGCCCACAGAAGGAAAAGAGTCCAATGAAACTATAACTAATCAACTAAGGGATTTGAGAATGAAAATGAAAACCAAATTAAGGAGGTAAATAAGTCCATACAAGATCTAAAACTAAGCTCTAACAAAATTTGAAGCCTTCAAATTAGAAGGAAAGGAAATAAAAAACAAAGTAGAAAGTCTTGACAGGTTAGACTATTCAGAAGATCGAACCTCTGGGATTTAAGACAGCCTAGATATTATAGAGAAAGAACAGAAAAGTATTCAAGACAAATCCAAGAAATATAATAGATCTGTTCAACATTTAGAAAACACCATCAGATGGCCCAATTTAAGGCTAGTAGGTGTAGAGGAGTCCTAGTGAAAGAAGTAGAAGGTCTAGGAAATTTATTTAACAGGATCCTAGCAGAGAACTTCCCAAACATGCAAAGAGATTCAGATATGAGAAGCCATTCAGATACAAGAAGTCTTTAAAACCCCCAAAAGACCAGACCAGAACTGGACATCCCTCCATCATGTTCTAATCCACACAGGATCAATAGAAACCAAGGAAAGGATCCTTAAAGCTGTCCGGGAGAAAAGATCAATCACCTATAAAGGGAAACCAATCAGAGTAACTTCAGACTTCTCAGCAGAGACCACTAGAGCAAGAAGAGGCTGGAATGAAGTATGCCACACCCTAAAGACAAAGAAATATCAACCAAGAATACTGTACCCACCTAAACTCTCCTTCATAATGGAAGGACAAATATAAACCTTCCACAGTAAAGAAAAATTGAAACAGTGTATCACCACCAAACCAGCCATACAAAAGATACTTGATGTCCTACACATAGAACACCACCAAGAACACCATAAAGGCCAAGAAACATCCCCCAAAGAGAGAATCCAAAAATCATAGGAAGAACCCAGTTGGCACAGCCCCCAAGAAAGTGGATAACATGGCAGGAACTGCCAAATACCTCTCAATCCTAACTCTCAATATTAATGGATTTGACTCTCCAATTAAGCGACATAGATTGTCTAGTTGGATTAAAAAGCAAGATCCTTCGATCTGCTGCCTTGAGGAGTCACACTTTGCCCACAAAAACAAACATATTCTGAAAGTGAAAGGCTGGAATAAAATCTAACAAGCAAATGGCCCCCATAAATAGGCAGGAGTTGCAATCCTAATATAAATAGACTTCAAATTAAAATTAGTGAGAAGAGATTTTTTTAAAAAGGTCATTACATACAAATTAAGGGATCTCTCCTTCCAGAGGATATTACAATTTTAAATATCTATTCACCAAATAACAAAGCACCCAAATTTATCCAGGAAATAATACTTTCCCTAAAATGTCACATAGATCCAAAGACATTAATTGTTGGGGACTTTAGCACACCACTATCCCTGCTGGATAGATCAACCTGACAAAAAAAAAAAAAAATCAACCAAGGAATCTCAGATCGAAACAACTGCATAGATCAACTAGACTTAAAAGACATCAACTGAATATTTCAATCAGAATACATGTTCTCAGCAGCACATGGAACATTCTCGAAAATAGACCACATTTTAGGTTACAAAACAAATTTGTCCAGATTCAGAAACACTGAAGTTATGCCCTGCATTCTCCTCAGACTACAAGCGAACAAAATTAGAATTCAATACCAAAGGCCAGCAAAGAAAATTCTGTAGCTCACTGAGGTTGAACAACACATTGTTGAACCAGCAGTGGGTCATGGAAGAGATTAGAAAGGAAATAC